TGATGCAAATGAGTCCAAATTTATCCAAATGCTTGGGACAATACTTAACTGAGATACAGTCTACATTGTCACTAAAACAAGCGAAACATGTATAATTTGATGATAACCACCGGGTAAAGGTAGCTACACCTCCACCGCACTTTGTCGTAGAACTAAACCGATCCGTGTGAACAATTTTGAAAGCACTTAAAAAAGGCTAACTCGTCATCAGATAAGTTGTGCAACCAAGTTTCTTGTATCGTTACCACACCAACATTAAGATAAACATTAGAATATAGGAGGCATTGTAAGTAGTCCAGCTTACCTATTAGAGTCTACAGTTCAAAGTAGGTGTTTTGGATAGTGTCATTTGATGTGGATTTTTCTTCCCTAGAGCGTGCTGTCATCCATCATTTCTTTATTATATTTGTCTAGATCATAGCGTTAGGTTGATAACTTTTAAAAAGTTTGCGTGAAGGGTTCATACGACTTAAGGTCATATTTGGACGACTAAGATAAATTAAAATGGAATAAACTTGATGCAGTTTGTTGGATGGAAAAATTTGGAAGACCAGAGGCTTGAGCTGGCCGCAGAAACAGAGAGTCATATTACCCGTAGCTACTTTATATCGAGCAGGAAATTCACCAGTGATGTATTTTTCCATCGAACCACATTTACAGGTATCTGTTACGTCAAACAGGGTGATCTAAATCTTTTGACACTCGATTAGTCTGAACAAATTCAACTGGACGAAGTACCACTCAGACCAGTTTGCAATGTTACAAAAACTCTTTAAAACAGGGTGACAAACTAGTAAATTTGTATTAGGAATCTTCAAATGCTTTCTAACCTCATCCTTGCTGCTATAATTCAAGGCAGCCCAGTGATATACCCAATACCAAAAATGGTAGATTCCATATTCATAAGTAACCCAGGTTAGGGAATGACTACAGTGCTCATAACAGTTAGGTGTTCTGACGACCGTCACCTACTGAGCATAGGTAGACCCTATGGTAGTATTCGGGAAGATTAATGGTTCCCTACCTGTTAATGCTGACTTTTCAGTTGGCTTAAATGCTACACTCAAACAACGTTCCCATTTTTTTTTACTTGTTACCAATGCTCTGCTCACAGGATGAAAACCACTTTAAGGAATTTTCTAACAGCTAATAAACATGATTATGTGGGAAATTCCGAGGTTAGCTGTCTACTTATAGTGTCTAAACTGTAGCTGGTTCTCCAGGTGAGCTCCATAACGGAGCTCAAAAAGCTTCACTGAGTGTCCGAGATATTGGTTTCTGACTGTGACGAAAAGTGTAGACTTTTACTGTGGTTTGCACAACACCTAGAGTTTATATTTTAGGCTAGTGATAAATTTCCATATTTTTCACTTAAAACTCCAGCCGAACAAGAGTAAAATGTTATTCAGAAAAGATAATAGTGTTTTAAACGATAACTCTAAGCTTAGCTGATTCTACAGGCTTTATCGCATAAAGCCAAAATCACAAACTTGACATGGCTCTTGTTCCAAAAAATAGGAACACTAACAGTGGTCCCAAGGACATTTACGAATTGTTTTATGCCTAAGAGGCAAACTAGTTAAACAAATGCGGTTGGGGGAACTGAAGCCTAACCTAAATGTTTTTTAAGGGAAAGGTAACTAGATTTTATGCTTCTCTGATACTGAAATTCAGATTGCCAAGGCCAAAGAATACAAGCTTGGATATCAAATTTCTACCTTTCAAATATTCTGTTGCTGTACAAGATTTAGATCAAACTTCTTTAACATAAAAAATTACATTACTTTGGATCTTCTTTTCACCATTATAAACAGCACCATTACAAACCCATTATCAACCCTACTAAACAAATCCTTTAAAAAAAGTGGATTCGAAGTAGTCTATCATAACCTAAAGATTACACACATGGCACAGCATCCGTTGGAACCTTACATTGAAGCTACGATTTCATGTCGCTTTAACAAACCAGCTTTATTATTTCATTTATTTTGGGAGATACGAAAATAATTTACCCACTTAGCAAATAGAAAACCCCCACTCCACTTTACTTCATACATAATTTACATTTTTTTCAAGTCATATTAACCATTAACACTGTCGCTGTGACCATTTGACTATCTTCAACGCACAAAATCAAGGACTGAAATCTGTGATTGTGCAATTCTTTCGCCAAAGTGCTTCTGTGAGAAATCTGGCAATATAATCTCACATTGACATAACTGAAACTAGTATACCAACCTACACATCCGGTGAGCTCCGAGTTCCAGTGGATACACGTTTCTACGATTAACACATTTAGCAGTTAGATTATTATTTTTATCGTAAAATTGAGTGATGCTGACATTGTCCATTGATCATATACAACTATATATCTCCAGCCTCTGTTTACTTGACGTGCTGCAATACATGAATAAACCATTAGTACCTTTCCTTCCATGAAATGCTTCATGAATACAGTCTTACACTAATCACTAACCACAAACCTCTTCTGTCAATTTTTGGTTCTAAGAAAAGAATTCCAGTTTACATACCAAGTCACCCTCAGAGATTGGCAGTTATTCTGTTGGGTTACAATCTAAAAATAAAGTATAAGTCTTCACACGATCTCAGTCAAGTCGATGTGCTTTCATGTCTTATTAAAATTCATAAGCTGGAAACAAGTATATGGCAAATACTAGTATTTCTTTTGAGAAAATGATGGAAGTTCTGATTGAGACTGTCAGTTCTATATTATTAGCATCTACAACGGTAAGAGAAACTAGTTGCCTTGACCGTGTGATAATTAGGGAAGACAACTGGCCGGAGCTATATTTATTGGTCAAATTCAGATAGTGAGTTAGAGTACACAGCCTCCAATTGTGGCAAGTGTGCGGAAGCCGCTAAGTTGTCAGTCAAAGCAGAATTGTGGTAATGGCCTATTCTGGGATGCATATGTCCCAGAGTTCATATTGATTTTACTGGTCTATTCGTAATGAGACATATTTTCAGTGATGACTGAAGCATTTTCAAAATGGGTAAAGGTTTTGATCCCAGAAAATATTTCTGCTACGACTACAGTTCAGAAACTGAGCGAAGGATTCTGTCATTCCTGATTATTCTATGTTGTTACTCATAATGGAACACAGTTTATACGAAGTTACTTTCATAAGTCGTATCAACACAATAATAATATCCAGCATGTTCAGTCTCCATCATACTATCCTTAGTCGAATGATCAAGTAGAGAGATTTTGATGCATTCAAACAAACTATGCTCAATAGGAAAGGAGGGATGATAGAATGGTTTCTCTAGAGATTTTTTTTGGATTACCAATCAACTTCAAACTCATTACCAGAAAATGAAATGTCACCTGCTGAAAACAGTTTCAGGTGTAGAATTTGTATTAGAATGCTCTGGTTAAGACATGTCAACTAAATCAGAAAACCTTACAGGTCCAAGTGATGCGAACAACCACCTTCAAGGAAGTATATCCACGTGTGGATAAATGAATATAAAGAAGGCTAGTGGACAATGCTCAGAATTGCGAGTTGAAAAACAACCTAGAAGATCACAGTGAGTGTGATGACCCACAGAGTATCTTTAAGTGGTCCGTTAATCGAAGGCATACTGGAATTCACGAAATTTGAAAGGGTGGTTTTAGAACGAACAGAAAGACAGGTGACTGGGCAATACTTTCTATGCAGGATGTAGACTAAATGTTTGTACTTATCTTTGGTCAAAGGCAGTGTTATTGACATCTTTTAGTCCACGATTAACTAATGTCTCGGAAGACAATTTTTCCAGTCATTCGTCCAGTAAAGCGATTATATAAATAGCTTTATTTTCATAATGCTATATTGATCTTAGTGAGTAGCAGAGGAATCCAGGATGCGCGTTTCACCCTATTTTGGACTCGTCATCCGGATGTGAGTGATGTTGTCCCCACTGACGACTCTCAAACTCGCTAACTCACTGGGGCACGATAGCCACCTCTTGTGAACCGGATATCATAACAGCCATATTTTCAGTTGATTTTTGCCTTTCTCTACAGAAATAAACCTTTCCATCCCAGTCTTGTCTTCCACATCTTTCAGAAGTGTGGGGACAGTATTCATTGTCACTTGTAGAAGTGTTGCGGGTGTATAACAACAGATTCCTAACCAATAGGTTAGGAGAAACCTCCAAGCGAGCATGAGATTCGGTCACTTCATCGAGTGTCCAGGATTCTACTCATTTAGCTACAATGATTGAGGTAGCTTGAACATGCAGTGCGAGTGCTGAGTCACTGCCTACCTCAGCATGCGATGTTAACTGAAGTAAGACTAGATTATAAGTCAACGGTGTCAAGATAAAGACATGATACTAATCTAAATAAGTCGATGACTGTTAGTTTGCGCATTTGAGTGTCTTGTTGAGAAATTTCCGATCATAGGAATCAATAGCTAGAGATTCTCAGTGATATGAGTCATATGTATCATCCACAACGGTAAGGTTAAAGCGGGCGACCATAATCTAAATAATACGATTTTTACCTGCTTACGATTTTCGACAACACGAAAATCATAAATTATACGCTTTTACAATAGGATGAAACTTACCGGGAAATCTTCTCATGGATATGACTTTACCTATGCTTTCATTCATAATCATCTCTAGATGGTTTGATACAGAACTCAAATTTATTAGAAATATATCTTAAATTCGATTCTTCACGCTACTAAATCCACTTGAAAGGTGAAATAAACAATTATTCACCAAATAATTACTTCTGTCAGTTTGAAACATGTGAGGTGGACTATGTAAAATAAAATACAGAAATTGTATGCCTTTGTTAATGGCATACCATAATATAGGTGAACAAATTGCCTGGACAAAATCATCACATTAAGAAGAAGAAGAAACCCATATACAGTATAGGCTACCAGGACGATTCTCAATTGCATACCTTCGCTTTCTATTATAAAACAAGAGGATTATAAGCTGAGATAGATATTTTATTTACAAAAAAAAGACAAAAGAAATTATTCTGCCTTGTCATATCCTGGGAAAACCTCAGAGAAGTCTTTAGCCTGTTTAAGTTTCTTTTTAGTCTGAGAATCAATTCTGGATAACTCAGCAGTTAGTTTCACAACTGTATTACATCGAAACATTGTCATGAGCTCAAGTTTCACCGCACTTGAAATCTCCTTTATTGTGTCACCTTTCATACCAATAACACTTAACTGGAATGGAAAAATAAAAACGTAAAATGCTACTTGTAAGTTCTTAGGGACTTATAAATCCAGAGAGGAAGATAATTTATTTGAGAATCAAAGAGAAACATTCATCTGAGACTTATACTATCTATAATTATCGAAAAATCCCTTGTTGGTTTGGAGAACGACTAAATGCACGTACTCTGAAGGATCCTTTTCACTTCGTTAAAGATTGAAGTCGATTTAATGCCTCTAATAAGTTCATGATGTTATTCAATGCAGTTTCTTTTTTCATGAGACTGTTGATATTATTTGTCAGTATTTCGACCACCGTCATCTGCAGACTCCGTAATTTAGACGCTTGTTGTTAATGTGTACCAGAGGTTTTCAGTTTCAGCTCGATAACACTATACCATTGGATCGATGGAGTAGCAATGGGCAGTTCATTAGGCCTCATGCTGGCAGATATCTTCATTTAATTTGAGGGTGGCATTTGTCACAGACTGACGTCAGTTGGAGAAATACTGGAAACCTGGGAGCATTGGACAGTCGTTTCGTTCTTAGAAGTGCGCCACGCGTCGAAACCCAGGACTTTCAGGTTCCGCGGCCAGCACGTTACCATTAAGCTACTGGGTCAGGACCCAGCGGTTCGTATTTCCTACTTCAGTCAGTCCACGATATGGCGCGATCTTCATTCATTGTCGTTGCTGAGTAACTGTGCTCATGTTCGACTTTGTTGGGCCCACTGGTCAAGACTTCCCAATCAAGTCGAATATGAGTGTCTCAAAGACGGCATTGGATGGAGGTCGCGCTATATTGTGAAGTGACAGAAGATGGAAATATGAACCTTTGTATTCCGACCCAGTCGAACAGCTCACAAGCAGCTGTTGACTAGTATCCAGTCGAGGAGCGCATTTTTTACTCTACAACTAAATGCTATATCTACAGCAGCGAGTCCATGACAGCTAGCCACTGGATCTCCAGATACTTTTAAGGTGAACTTTAAAGTTTCACCACCATGGCCAGGTGGGGTAAATTTAGTAACCACACTCGGGTCCTGTATACGTGTCTCAGAAACACAGCATACACTCATATCTTGAGATTCCAGAGTTCTGGTGAGCGATGCTTGCAGTCGTAATTGGCGTACAGTTTGGATATTGAACGCTCCTATATGAAATCGATGACGAGGTCTTAGGAGACTAGGAACCAGGTACCGATTGCTTTGGTCGTTGACAATGGTTGCAGAGTGAGAGGGTGAGGCGTAAGAGGCCTAAAATTAGAATCAAATGGCGAAGGCAAAGCAGGAGACATAGTTGGGGAGGACAGGTTATGTTTGATTGGGTCTAGTGTACCGCTGGAAGTGTCTTGGCAGCTAACACTTCCGGGATGCTCATACCATGGAAGGTTATTTCTTAATGAGGTACCTGAAAGAGAAAAAATTCTGTGTGACCGCAAAGCCCACGAGCATCTGCTCGAGGCCTGTCACACACAGCCTTTTCTCAATTTTGACATTTTGTTTTTGAATCCACCTAAGAACCTTGTTGCAAACATCGGCATGCCACGAGGAGGTCGACCTTTTCTAATCCCCCTTCCCGTTGGGAAGATAGCATCAGCGTGGCACTGTTGATCATCTAAGGGAAACATCTTACTGCTGTCACACTTCATCAAGCTAGCGGAAGTACGACTTCACCCTCAGAACTCCGTCGCAGTGTATTAATTTGCACTACAAAGGCAGCAGATTTTTGTCTTACCACTATCCAATAGACCTTTCTGCCATGGTAGAACTTTGAGAGAACAAGTGCTCTACCAGCACACCTCGTTGGGTCATTGTGGCATGCAAGCCCGACTACCAAGTCAAAGTAGTAGCCTTGCTACTGATATATACTGTTTCTCAGAGTCCAGGATAAAAGATTGTGGTGAAATGATCAGATCGACTTCTCTATCTGTTGGGTCAAGCAGTATGCTAACTGTGCGACTATACGCAGAACCCAATGACCCGGTAGACAGCAGCGTTCTTGGTGGTCGGGCTTGTATATCACAGTGATTTAACGAGCTATGCTGATGGAAAGCTCCTTCCCTTGAGGTCCAACCATGCCAGAAATGTTTGTTGGAGAGTAGTAAGACGAAACGCAATTACCACTGTAGTGCAAATTACTACACTATGATTAGAGTCTAAAGGTTAGGCATCACTGGAACCCCAGGACAGCAAACTCGAGAAAAAACCGAGCAGGTCTCAGACATAGCTGAACGACGGTGCGTCAATCAGATTTTCACACTCCGACAGGTTCTGGAATGCAGGCATACTTACCGACCAACACTTGCCGTATTCGTTGACCAGAAGGCAGCATTTGACTCTGTCGACCATGAGGTGTTATGGCAGTGTCTGAATTTGAAAGGAGTACCAAGTAAGTATATGAAGCTAATCGAAGCTCTCTACTCGAACTCACACAGCCGTGTCAAGGTTTATGGAGAATTAAGAAGTGAGCTGATGGCAACTAGTTGTGTCCAGCAGGGATGCCTGCTATCACCGTTACTGTTTGACCTCGTTATAGACGTACCAATGGACATAACCTCATGTGCGTCTGAATTCACAGAGGTTGATCCACTCCCTGGAGGTCACCTGGTTGACTTGAAGTATATAGACAATATTGTCCTGTTAGATAGTAGGTTGAATTTAGTCATTTTAGAACTGTTGTATTTTCAAAAAACTTTGTCTCTACCTCGAAATAAGCTAAAATGTGCAGATTTTAAGGTAGTCATTTTTGCTTCAACCCCTTGATACTAACCAAACTCATCGGACAGCCTTAAAACAAACATAAATATGATAGTGGATAAAAAATCTTGACTGTAGAAGGATTGGAAACAAGCCTCGTTTCAAGTTCATACTTGCATGAATGGTGACAATATTCGTAATTTAGAAACAGAAATGAAGAGAAAAACTCACCAGCTGCCGTTCATTTTGACACCGTATACGTACATGAACATAGACTCGATCTTCCTCATTATCTAGCTTGATTTTATCACACTCGTCTACTATAATATGCAGAGAATAAGGGATTTCTTGTTTTAATTTATTGAGACACTGGGACCACACACACATTCGTATAAGTTCATCCGGCTCCTGATCAGTAACCATAGATGGGGGTAGAATCCAAGACCGATTTGGTATGGCTTTGGATATAAGAAAATCCTGTAGTGTAAGGAAACAGATATTTACTCTAAGAAGTTTGAACAATAAACTGTGACAACGCAATAATTACGCGTTAAAGTTTACAGAATAGACAATTTAACAATACTGTCTAGTAATTACCTCTAATTTTGCCTATAACCTTTCGCATCGTTGCTAGATTTTGATTTTTCTACTGCTTCTGAGAGCTGAACTCTCATTGGTTGTTAACCCTTTTAACTGATCAGTGAATTTAGTGTTCGTGAAGGTCGTTTGGAGAGCATATATTCAGTATCGCTCCCAAGTGTTTTTGACTGTTGTTGAAACAGTAGAAGCTGTGTCAACGGCCCGTCTTCTCTTCGTGTCTTTGTGTGCCAGTGGTATTGTTGTTGCAACAACCACTAACCTGATGATTAAATTCATTCATCCTACCTGCAGTAATAGACTTCAGTTGTCGGCTTAGAATGGACGATAAATCATATACTTTGCAAAATGTATCCCTGACCTAGCGATGCTAGCGCAAAGGCTGTTATGGGTGTAGTTAGCGAAAAAATAATGAATTAACCAATAACAAGTACATGCATATGCTTAGATAAAAATAGTTGAACAAAATATTAATCAGCGAAACACCCTATGAAATGTACAAAGTAATCTTGGGAAATATCAATATCTAAACTTAACTTTTTTTTCATCCTACTGGTATCCTTCTTAAAACTTTTCAAAAATGAACACACGCAAGAAGATACCTCAATCGTAAAACAAATATTTATTACTAAACATTATCTTTTGTCAAAGTTATCAGTTCAATGGAATTTTAAAAAATGGAAACATTTATCAAACGACACACTAAGAGTCACACAAAATCAATTTGGAACCTCTCACAACTTGCAACACTTCACAGAAGCGTTAAAACAACAAATGGATAGAAAAAGACTAATATCAAGATAGACAAAGGTGTATGGGAAGAGAGTGAATTTAAAAACAAAGGCTAGCTAAGACGTTCAAGCCTTGAAAGACGATACACAGTGAAAAAATCTGCGCCATCGTGAACGATTTTCAGCTATGTTGCCAACAGCCATTAATCTATCGCCTCGGAGACACCAACCAAGTAGTCTACATCTCTCCACACGATTCAGATCAGCAGTGAGAGACTTCATCAACTGGTGCTACTACTTGGTCTATCACCCTGAACCCTCTTCCAACCTAAACCAACTTCATCTAGACATGGCATTTCGAGGTAGATGGTAGGTCGGCATGCGTAGCACATGTCTAAGCCATTTTAATGGACTGAGGTTCACAACCTCGTTAATCGACTTGCTTATCTTGCCTAGTATCCCTTGGTCTTACCTCAACATTGCTCACACAGTGATTCCACAGAAGTGAGCAATGCTACAAAGATGTCTGTGATCGAAAATCTGTAGCACCTCTACTTTCAACGGCCATGTCTCACATCAGTATAACAGGGCAAAACGGACTGCAGCGTAATATATTCGTCCTCTGATAGATAGTCGAATATCTCGACAGTCGGCGCCACAGATGATGCAAGTTGGCAAATGCCAGATAGGCCTTCTTTATCTTAGCTGAGATTTCGTCAGCCACCAGCTAGTTCGGGGTGATGGATACCTTTTACTACATCACTCCTCATCATTATACTGAGGGTGACTGCAGCAGATGTCCTTGAGCATCATCTTAAATTCGACATGGCCAAGCGAAACGCATGCCAAACATACCGTTCGTTGAGTTAGCGTCTTCACCTAGCAGGACAATATCGTCTACATACTTTAAGTCAATTAGGTGACCTCGAGAGAGTAGATCAGTCTCAGTGAAGTCAGATGTACCTAAGGTTATGCCCATTAGTACGTCTATAACGAAATCAAACAGGGAAGGTGACAGCAGGCATCCCTGGCGTACACTGTTAATAGGCGAAACAGATGATAACAGGTTACGGTTGGTATCAAACACTACAGGGAACCGACAGACAACTTAATAAAATGAGACAGAGATCAATGTCAGCAAATAATGACATTCAGAATGTGCACTCATAAGTTATATCTGAACGGGTTAAGTAGATCCTCACTAAAATGACACGTGTGTAGCTTGGCTTTTATAGTGAAGTAGTGTTCAAACTTGAGATTACATTGGTTAAGATGTTTCAACATGGAAAAAGACAACAGAAAACGTTTACGTGCCGATACTGTCCTACTCCGAAATTCTGATTCTTGTCCCAGGTGGTATCTCTAAAAGTTAATCATAGTGACGCTCATGTGTATTAACTTGTTCTGATTCGTTTCACTTCTCTCATATCCTTCTTGTTAACTTCAATGTCGCTGTACTTCAGCTAATGTTTCGCTGCATTGTTGCGAAGTATATCAACTTGAATTAATGCATAGTTGTACGAAATTCTATGTCTGACTTAATATGCCCAAGTCAATTAGTAGGCAGGCAGAGCCGGAGGGATTCCAGTGCGAAATGACAGCATACTTCAAGTAAGTAAAATCCCATAAGAATGAAATTAATGAGTGATAGGGGAAGAGTAAATATACATAAGTGTATTTAGTAGTGTATAAAATATCTTGTCCCTGACCATCGAACGTCTATATATATATATATATATATATATATATATATATATATATATATATATATATATATATATATATATATATATATATATATATATATATATATATATATATATATATATATATATATATATATGACATTATAGAACAAACAAAATTGAATGTAGCTCATGGTTACTAAGAGGTCAATGGTAAGAGCTAACAATACTTACTGCCTTTTCGCAGAAAAGTGAATTGATTTCGAACTTCAGAAGTAATATCTAGCATATTTTATTGATCTAACTGGACAACGAGGGATAAGTCTGTGCAGTACACAGTGAACCCTATCTATCGTATCTAGGCTGATAATACTACCTCGTTGCATACACTCCTGGCAAAATAAGTGATGCTCGAACCCGTTATCCACTGGCCGGAAGTCGCATGTTTAGAACGAAGAAATACAGTTACACAATATCTAAAAATGTTTAGACCAATGGACGTATAAACATGATTCGCACATATCTATCTATTAATAAGGCAACAAGCTTCTTGAAATACCTGACTACAATCAAACTAGTAATACCAAAAATGTTCACCAGTTCCAGGGAAAAAAATGTACCAATTATGATACTATCGGTTTATTGACATACTTGGAATTCTCTGTTGTTTCTTGGATCGAATTGTTCGACCTCTATTGGCATATGGGCTTCTATGCGGATGCATCGATATTACCTGAATGTTAATTAAGGTAATTTGGTTGGTTGTGGCTAACAGAAGAATCCGGGACGCGATTTTCGCCCCATTTGGGACTCGTCAGCTGGATGTACCTGCACCCCAGTGAGTGTTGTTGTTCCCACTGAGACTAGGACTTCGTACTCATCACTTCAACCCCAAAGTGTTATCCACTGTACCACGGAGGAACGATAAATATTAATAACTACTACCCGTTGTTCAAGAAGTGGATATCGTTTCTCCGTGGCATAGTAGATAACGCCTTGGCGTTTGAAGCGATGAGTACGAGGTTCAAGTCTCAATGGGAACATCACTCAATGGGGTGCAGGTACATCCAGCTGACGAGTCCCAAATGGGACAAAACGCGCGTCCTGGATTCCTCTGCTAGCCACAATCAACCAAATTATGGTAATATGTGTTTCATCATTCACTCTTCAAACAACATCTATGTAAAAAAGGTTAGTAGTTCAGTACAAAATCTGTTTAGTATATATCACAAAAATATTGAAAGATTACCCTTAGTTTGTCTATCCCATCTCCCAAGAAAGAGGAAACCATGAAAACCTCACTGAATCCTGACCACTTTGTTATGCCTTTGGTTGCTTTTGTTATTTCTAACCACCTTTGTCGACGATTTGCCACCTCTTCAGGTGATGCTACTTGAAGTAGTAACTGTTGTTTCAATGTTTCCAACATTGAATCTATATAATTTGGATCATTTTCTGTGCCCAGAATTTCATTCAGTTCGAGTTCAGATGTAGTTGGAAGGAGTTGGTGCTTTTCATCAGCTAATTGTTGACTATCCAAGGAGATCAATTCATTACCTTCAAATGGCTTATAATCACTGAAGAATTCATTTATATTCTCTTTTTCTACTTCTGTTAAGAAGCGATCTTTCATGAATTCTGTAAACAAAACAGGATGATTATACGATACAACTTTATGGAGTATATTTGTGAAAGTAGTAGCTTACGTGAAAAGAATACATTTTCCGGTTGAAATATCAAAGATATATGATTCATAACAAATCGAAAAGCATTGTACTACATTCTACCTATTTATATACAATTGGAATGCAATCATAATGAAAGAAGCAAAAGACAGGTATGCAGAGAGAAATGTCTACTGTCAACAAGTGGGACAGTAGTTGTTAAATATGGTACACCTTGCACTGAAACCGTCATTTGCAGAATATGCTTCATTTCCTCTTCTGCTTCTTTCTTGATTCGTTCTTCACACACCTGCCTCGTCTCTTGCGTTTCTCTTGGCGGAATCCCCACCCATTTCTGGTAATTTCCTATGATTACTGCCACTCTCCCAACATATACTACTTATATCCATTTTTATCAGCAACGCCCACTGCAATAATTTAGACAATATACGATAACTACGATTATGTACTGACTCACAATAGTGTTTAAGGAGACCAATGTTTTCGCGGAGAAAGGTGCTGGACTGTACTGCTTTTTACTTATTTTTAGAAAGTTACAAGGAAACTTTCGACTACACTGCATGCATATCTGAGCTGGTCAAACGAGATATGAACACAACCTTCAAGAAAACAAAGTCATTTAATGTCTCACTTGAAGATAATACTATTCAAATACACATGTAAGATAAAATTACATACATGAATTGGACGCTAGGTAGTGATGTTTTCCTGTGTCGATTAAAATCGGTTTATGGATACGCGTAATGTTGACAAGATAAGTACTACATATAATGTCGTAGGTTACAGTAAGCTACACTTATGCGGCTGCACTATAAATGTCGACTAACAGAAAGTACAATAATCTTATTAATATTTTCCATAAAGTAACTATTTTTTAAATATTATTATTCATCCCTTAGGTTCCTGGTGGAATATAGAGCTTTAGTAGCACATCCCCATTTTACGCTGTTCTCTTCAGTCTTCTCAGTTTGGCCTGGTACGTGATGTCCCCAAATGGTCTTCTCAGTGTATGCCCAATCCAATCCAATCCATCTCCACTTTCTTTTGCATATCTGTTGGGCGATGGGTTCTTGGCTGATTCGTTGCTACCCAGAGTTCCTTGTTGCTGATTCTTTCTGGCCATCCATCCGATCTTCAGTATCGAGTGAGCGTAGGCGGCAGCTATTGATGAATGTCTGTAGTTTGGAAATGCTTTTCATAACGCTCCAAGTCTCTCAACCACCACATAGAAGCACTGACTTGACTGACATTAGCGTTGAAAATCCGGATCTTGTTCACGCTTTATGCTGAATGGAGTGCAGTAGATCTCCACACTGATTTCAGGTTAATGCAGGGAGGCCTGTCTTGCTTTTCCGATCCTGGCTTTGACATCCTCATCTGTGGTACCGCCCCCTGTAGTAGAAACGATGCCGCCTGCCGAGGTAGGTGAAACAGATTGCTTGCTTTGGGTTTCTCCCGTTGATGGTGATTGGTGCCTCTTGTTGTTGATGCTGTTGTTGGTTGGATATCTTCATCACCTCTGTCTTCTCTACATCCACCTGAAGGAACTCCCGTCTTCCTTCCCTGCCCAGCTTCTTCTGCCAACTTGTTGATTTTCGCTTGTTGACCTTCGACTTTGTCCTACAAGACATTAAACATAAATCATCATCGGTGGCGAAATCCAAATATTCTGGGGTCTTTTCATCGATCCAGCCAGCGTATACCCCTCTCCTCCCTCCTCACAGTTTGTTGCATTATCCAGTCCAGTCGACCACAATCAAGAAGATCATGGGTGATGGTAGGCGGCAGCCTTGTCTTACCTGTCAACCTGACTTCACTTCAAAGGCGTCACTAAGTTTTCCATTGTGAATCACTTGACATGTAGCATCATATAACATATAGCTGTTGAGTGGGGTTGATAAAGATTTCTGGCACTCAAAACGTAGTGTTGAAGCAGCTGCCTGCCAAATTACTTCTCAATCGACGCTGTCAAGGGCCTGTTCAAAGTCGATGAAGTTGAGGTAGAGGGTTGACTGCCATTCCATATTCTGTTCTATGATGATGCGAAGCGTTTCAATTTGATTCGCACATGATTTGTACTTCCTCAAGTCAGCCAGCCAGCCAGCCTGTTCCGGTCGTAGTTTTGAATCCAGCGCATCTGTTAGTCTCTCCAGGATGATGCGGCTTAATATTTTGCTTGCTCTGGGTGGACAGCAGCATGACTCCTCGCCAGTTCTTGCAAAGACTTAGGTCGCCCTTCTTTGGAAGTTTGACAAGGTAGCCCTTCTTCCAATCAACCGGCAAGTAGCTTTCCTACCTTTCTTCCAAACCTTCTGCAGTAGTGGTGTCAGCATGTCCGCCGCTGTTGTCTCTGCGTCTGTTTTCAGTGCTTTTGGTGGAATTCTGTCTGGTTCTGCTGCTTTCCCGGATTTCAGTGACTTTATGGCGTTCCGGACTTTTGCTATTGTTGGAGGGCATGTGTTCACTGATAGTTCTGTGGCTGCGCTGCTGGTAGTATTTCTGGATGAGTTGTAGGTGGTGGTGGTGGTCGATTCAAGAGTTTTTTGAAGTGGTCAGCCTATCGTTTACTATGTTTCTACTCTTCACTATCTTTCATTGGTTTCATCTGTGTTGATGTCATCCCTCCCAGATAGTAACCTGTTTATTTGATATAATGTTGTCAAGTCTCTTCTACCAGCAGTCTGTTCTGTTTCACTTGCAAGTGTGTCGTAGAAGTGTCTTTTGTCTTTCAGTGCCCTCTTCTTCACTTCTTTGTCCAGTGTTTTGTAGGTTGTATTCAGTTCCTCTTTTCTTTGTTCATCCCTGCACTGCACTGGTTTAGCTTCTGCTTCACCACCTTCCTCTCCCTCCTCAATCAGCTCCTATGTGTCCGTCGAGATCAATTCCCTGTCCGGTTTTTTTTCCTTCCTAATACGGTTAAATAGGTTTCCTTCCATGTCTTTATCACAGAGTTCAAGTGTTCTTCCACGCAGCTTTCCTCGGGGATTTTGCCTAAAGTCTCCCCATTTCGTCCTGATGGCTGACGTGAAGGTGTCTTTATAGTTTCGTCCTTCAATTTCTTTTCTGTGTGCTGAGCATGGACTGTGGTCTATCACCAGCTTTTTTGAAGGCTTTCAGCTTGATATGATATCTGTAACTAAAAGACAATTAAGAGGCAGCGATAAAGATAATAAAAATAAGTGAACATTGGTGTGAATTTCGAACCTCTGAAGTATAAAACGAATGTTTCAGGGTTAATTGCAACTCATATCAGGTTTAGCTGTGAGGAAAAGAAGCAGTTAACTACCAGAACGTTAAAATTACAACGCCTGTATGATAGAACTACTACATTAGTCGCGTAAATTTAAGATGTTTTAGAGAACGAAAACGGACAAGGTGAGTCCATATATACACAACTGTTTTAAGGGGATCTGTGTTATACATGAAAAGCATACGTTTTATTGAGAATATCTGGTTACCTGAGAAAATAAACAAATACCTGCCAACAATTGATTGAAATGATTTATAAAAATATATACCAGGCAGAATGGTGTTCACAAACAAAAGAAATTGAATGTTTATTAATGCGAAATAATACAAAGATCATATCCACTTAATATATCCTGTAAAAGCGTTTATTTGATGACTGATGAGTTACACTAACCTCGTGAAGGCTTACAATACTACACGGATGCATATGCCAAAGTAGTTGAGGCAGGCTGTGAACTAACGACCAATTCCTTGAAAGCTAGATGCTTAAGTTGAATAACCAAAACGAAGTTGCATGGACCTTTTAACTAACTCAACCCACATATGATACGTGAACACAGTGGTCTGGCAAACACATTACAAACAAAACTTTGCTATACACGTGGGTATAGATATAACTCTAAGTAACTCCGATTCTAAAAGCATCGAACTACTTCCTGGAGAAAGCCAGGTTGACAAGACTACAGGGACGACAGGGTCCTGTTAGCATAAACGCCAACAAAATGAAGGCTGCTCAAAACGCTTTGAGCTGAAATTTGAGTATGTTTCGTATAAAGTTTGCACTTGTCAAACGTGAAATAATGATTCGATACTGGTCTACACTGAATCCTAGTTAAAACATAGGGAATAAAGTAATGGAATGGGAAGCTGAAACAGTCTGACTGGTCCAATTGTTGTTGTTGACAAAATCTAATCTCACATACGGAAAGCTCGTTTCACATTTTCCTGCTCACACCATTTCTGACTCCAACGAGATGTCCGACAACCAATTGAAGAACGAGTATACTGCATTACTGTCCACTCTGTCCTTTTATACAGCTTGACCACTGAAAATAGATTATAGGAAGAGATTACAGGTATTTGACCAAAGGTGTATCCGCAGCATTGCTCATGTACAGTGGAATCACTGTGTGAACAATCTCGAAGTTAAACGAAGAGTGATAGGCAAAGAAGTTGATGAAGTTATGAGCCTACACTGACTGAGATGACTTGTAATTGTGTAGCTAATGCGGATCCACAGCATACCTGGAAGTGCCCCATGTTAGCTGAAGTGGAAATGTGTTTGCAGAAGGCTCGGGATGGTCAGACCAAGATGTGACATCAGTCAATGAAGTCTCTGACTGTTGGTCTGAGTTGTTTGGGGGAGGTGTTGACTATCTAACTGGTGTCCTCGAAGTATTAGGAATCAATGGTTGGATAATGTTGATAATACGGCTAAAAATTCGTCATATCTTAGAATGTTTTAGTATTTTCACTAACCTTTATTGTTTTAATACTCCCTTCTCTTATACACTCCTGTCTAGTCTAATATCACTCCTTTTCTTCTTAGGTCTTGTACATAGCCTCTTCTGCAGTGGTGTAAAACTTAGGCAGATGTGCTTGTGTGCAAGATTCTACGCTTTACTGGACTGTCTCTTCTCAGCTAAGCTTTCTGCTTAATAATTGAGAGTAAATGACTATAACATAATGACAACATTAGATCAGACCTGGTACCAATCACTTATTAATTCAAGATATCTTCAGGTATAGAGCCAACAAATAAATTCGACTAATACTAATAGTTCTAGATATTCATGCTGAAATTTTGGCACTTTGAGCAAAGTTCTTTTATGACTCAGTGGTCTACTTCTACATGACTAATACTCTGTCCAAGATCCTAGGATCTATAGCTTTGCAAGGCCTAAAGGGAGCTCAATTACAGCAAACTCTAGAAAACCAAGCAGGTCTCAAACACAGCTGGACGAGGGTGCATCGAACAAATTTTCATCTTCCAATAGGTTCTGAAATACAGGTATGCCTACAAAAATGAGAGATGGAGAAGGCGTCAGCGATGGGTAACAATCAGAAACTATTTAGGCTTGATAAGGATAGGGCAGAACACTTTTAAGAACAGTTTAGATGGCCTTCAGCAATGCTCCACTTGTTCAACATCCAACCTGAACCTGAATGGCACGTAGATGTAGGTCCTCCATCTCTCCTTGAAATTGAGGCTGTCAAACCTAAAACGACGCACAGCAGCAGGAACTGACAGTCTACCACCTGGAGTTCTCAAGGATGGAGGTAGGAAAGTGGATATTAGAGTGACGAAGGTATTAAGCAGTGTGTGGGAATCAGGTGTAGTGCCATCAGACTGGTCTACTTCACTGATCATCACAGTCTATAAGAACGGGAAGAAATCTTCTTATGACACTCATAGGGGAATTAGTTTGTTTCCAAGATCCTGGGCACCTAACTGGGACTCGAGAACAGAGAACTTGAGAAAACCAAGCAGGTTTCGAACGTCAGACGAGGGTGCATCGCACAGATTTTCACTCTTTGACACAACATGGAATACACTTACCTACTGACCAGTGGCCAACACTTGCCATATTTCTCGACATGAAGGTGATATTCAAAACTATCGACCGTGAGGTATTGTGGACGTGTCTGAATTTGAAAGGAGTACCGAGAAGCACTTAACGGTTAACATGGCTCTCTACTCGAACTCACACAGCTATGTCAAGGCTTATGGAGAGTTGTCATGTGAATTGACGACAACTAGTGGTGTCCACCAAGGTTGCCCACTGTCACTAGTCCTGTTTAACTCCATCAAACATGTACCAATGGACATAATCCTATGTGCGTCTGACTCTACAGATACAGACCTACTTCTCTAGAGGTATCTGGTTGACTTGGGGAATGCAGACGACACTGTCCTTTCAGATGAAGATGTTAACGTATGGCAGGATCTTCCGAACGCGTTGAACGGAAATCTGAGCATGTTTGGCATGCGTTTCACTGACGCCTATTAAATGTTAGGTGATGCTCAAAGACTGGCCTGTTGTATTGACCACTTCACTTACTCGGAAGGTTGCATCAGCCTGAACGGACTGGCCACTGACGGAATTTCAGCTCAGATACAGAAGGTCCATCTGGCATTTGCCAGACTTGCGTCAACTGTTCCGCCGACTGGCGAGATATTCGACTATCTATCAGAGGACGAATATACTACGCTGCAGTCCGTTCTGTCCTGTTATGTTGATGTGAGACATACCCGTTAAAAGTAGAAGACATGAAGTAGTTACAGGGTTTGGATCATGTGTCTTCCTAGCATTGCTCACTTCTGGTGGAATCACTGTGTGAGCAATGTTGAGGTCAGGTGAAGGCTACTAGACAAGATTAGCGAGGCTGTGAAGCCAAGTCGACTGAAATGGCTTGAACATGTACTACATATGCTCAGCCACCGCCTACCTAGACGTGTTATACTAGAGCAAGGCGGATTAGGTTGGAAGACGGTTCAGAATGGCCAAACCAAAACCTGGCACAAGTCGATGAAGTCCTTGACCACTGATTGGTCTAAGTCGTATGGGGAGATGTAGACTATTTGTTTCGGGTCCCTGAGAATATAGGAATCATTGGTTGGAAACTCCAGTTATCATGGCTGAAAATCGGTCATAGTGGTGCAGATCTATTCACTCCTTGATATCTTCTAAATCTTCAACAATCGCGCTAACCTTTATCTTCAGATTGTTTGTTCTCTCATACAACTTTGTGTACTTTGATATCAATCTTTTTCTATCCACCTATTCTTTGTGTACTATTATGAAGTGTATGAACTTCAATCGATGCACTTTTGTGGGAGATGCTACTTGGATTTTGTTTGTCTATCTATCTGTCTGCCTACTTCTACAAAATTAGTAAGTAAGGTAGTAGTAAGGTCATAATGATTCTTCAGAAGCTACGATAACCAATTGTTATTTTCATCTCGCTTCAGATGCTCAGTTGAAAGTAGAGTACCTGTCGTCGTAATCAACATAAAGACAACTAAATTCATGTCATCTTTTGAAAGACATACCTGTTGTGATTGCAAAATAACATAGGTTGAAGAGGTACTAAAGATGAGGGAGGAACACAACTCAGTGTTTCATTTCCATTTTGAGAAAACACTGAATATAAACACAGCTGCAATTAAGGTAATTTGTTTGATTGTGACTAGCAGAAGAGTCCAGGACGCCCGTATCGTCCTACTTGGGACTCGTCAGTTACATGTACATGCACCTCAACCACAACCAAACAAATTACCTTGATTAACATTCAGGCAATATCGAGGCATTCTCATAGGAGCCCATATGCCAGTAGAGGTCAAACAACTCGATCCAATAAAACAACGGAGAATTCCAAGTAAGTCAATAAATAGTAATAACTACTACCCATTGTACAAGAAGTGGCTATCGTTTCTCCACGGCATAGTGGATAACACTTTGGGGTTTGAAGTGATGAGTACGAAGTCCTAGTCTCAGTGGGAACAACAACACTCACTGGGGTGCAGGTACATCCAGCTGGCGAGTCCCAAATGGGGCGAAAATCGCGTCCTGGATTCTTCTGTTAGCCACAACCAACCAAATTACCTTAATTAACATTCAGGTAATATCGATGGATCCGCATAGAAGCCCATATGCCAATAGAGGTCGAACAATTCGATCCAATAAACAACAGAGAATTCCAAGTATTTCAATAAACAGCTGCAATTGGTTAAAAGGAATCAACCGGAGGTCCAAACTACTTTTTAAGGGAATTTAATTCCAAATATCAAACAATCTCAGGAATTAGTATTACTTAAATTATAAATTGGTTAATAATAAACTGGTAATGCTCTTTTGATCCGTCTATAAACTTCATGAAATGAGATCGAACTAAGAACATAGCACAGTTATTAATAATTAGAAAACATATAATGTGGTTGGAGCACTTACCATCTGACTGTAACTGAAGACTTTCTTGATTTATACTTCTTGGCACATTTTCGAATCTGTTCCAATCACATCAACTTGTGTTGATTCAATCTGAGCCCGCAAGTTATGCATATAACTAAGAAATTTGTTAGCTGTTTCATGGCACACTGGAGGTAATCTAGACGCGATTATTTCATTCGGTGGAATAAACTGATGAGCTTTATCTGCCAATTCTGCTCGACGCTTGAATCGAGCAGCATACTTGTCCACATGTGAATGACGACCATGTACAATGCCTCCAGTTAGTTTTCGGGTAATCTCCAATAATCTAGTTGGATTTTTATACAGCCTATCAATCTGAATAACAGTAGAAAGCAAGCAGGAATAATACAATGACTAAGTCTTTACAGTATTATGTACAATTATTTTTAAAAGTGTAGAAAAGAAAACAGTCCACTTACTTTATTCAATACAAGAATTGACTCTTTATCGTTGAAAAAGTGAAGTGCTTTTATAACTTCTTCATGCAGTACTTCACTTGATTCTTTATGACTGGCGTCAATAACCACAAGAACTAAGTGATAAAGAAACAAAGGTGAAGAATACAACTTAGTCATAACTTGCTACTACTAAGCAATCGTAGGAGTAAATAAAAAGAAATCTCATTCAGCTGTTTACTTTCAATGAGTTTTACAGCAATACCGTAACTTGTATTCTTTTTTACATCTTTATGTGCTAAAATGAAATGTGTAAAATTGGAAACAGGGTGTTACAAGATGGTCAAAAAAGTATATTAGCAGGAATCACAAACACCACCATAGAACCAGCTATTACTGTGTGACGGTCCAAGTTATCACACATATCGCCACATCAAGTAACACAGTACTAAGAATTGAATAGAAGCAGTAAAAAGTAATTAAACAGAAGATAGACGAATGACAGAATGCTGAATTCAGCATAGTAGTTAAGATGAAGATAATGTGTGGATACACCTAAGTCACTAAGATCGATACTGAGCCATATCACCTAGTCTCCAACCATTGGTTTCTGTTGTCATGTGGACGCCAACCGCATAGTCTGCATCTCCCTGCATGGCTCAGACCAACAGTCAACGACATCATGCAATACTACTATGCTTTGGTCTGGCTGTCACAAGCATTTTTCTAGCCTCAAGTTACTTCAGCTTATGTTGTGTGGCGAGGCGGAGGGTGATTGGGCATACGTAAAACATGTCCCAGCCGAGTCAATGAAGGTTCACAACCTCATTAACGGACTTTACTCTTCGCCATAAAACGCCACACTTGACTTCTGCGTTACTGACATGATGACGATACGATACGGCCTATGCTACAAAGGCAACCGTGATCAAACACCGGAGCCTTCTCTTGCCCTCTACCTTTAATGACCATGTTTTACAGTCATACAGTAGTAGTAGTTATGTAATTCGGCAGAAACCAATTGCAATTTTTGTATCTATGAAAACATTTTACCACTCCTGATCCCAATAATGATGATACAACTCTCTACAGAAGTGAATTACTCGACACGTTTAACGACACAGTGGCCAACAGCTGAAAGGAACATCGATCCAAGTCAGTCCTACAGGACCAAATAGATTTCGGGCAGTGATTAACGCTTCCCAAACATTTTCAATTTCTTAACAAGTGTTTAGAAGACTCTGAACATTGTTGATACCGAAAAGTTAGCTAGAGATCAAATGAAGAAGTTTTAGAGATCACACTGGAGATCAATACTTGCGAAGCTAGAACAAAACCTGACACCCATGAGCACAGTTAAACAAAACAGACAAATATAAATCAAAATAGCTACCTCAGCACAAGTTTTTAAAGAAATATGACTCGTCTTTAGAGGTTTTTTTGAAATAACATCAATCGTTAGTGATGTTTCCCTAAATAATGATGGTAATAAACAGTCAGATGACAGGAGAGATGATTAATCTCGAGATTAGATGTATAATTAGAAAGAAAAATGGAACTAGAGAGTTGACTATTGAGAAAATAATTCCTATAAGCAATAAAAACATCTAATAACACTTGGAAATATAATGCACAAACAAATGGGCAGAAACCATATTAATCAATGAATATGGTTTAACTTCAGAAAAGCAACATTAGGTTAACATAATACTACATATACTTTTATATTCCCTCAGCCCCTTTCACAGATAAATATTCAGCTACTTCATTATCATAAACTACATGGGGAATGATGACACTGAAATCAGAATTTATAACATAAGTTTAACAAGTTCAGGGTTCACTAAACAGTCATTTCCTCATACAAAGAGACTTCTCAATGAGATACACACACAATCAAATACAGAATACAGCCCAAGATTCCGTTGGATTCGATGAGTTAGTCAGTCGATATCAACGTGGCAAGTGAAATTACTGCACAACAGTCTAAGTTGTCAAACCTAATACAGTACAACGTGCTCAAACGTGGCGTAACAACGTGAAAAGACAACAAGGAGGAATAACCCTACCATTAAAACTCAACAATCATGGAAAGTATGACAATATTAAGTGGCTAAATTCCTACCATATCCGTCGAATGTAAACGACATCAACTAAACTCTCTAACTCCTTTCCGCAGTCACGTGAAAAATAGCAGAGAAGTTAACATATCTCTACATGGCCCATAGCTGTAAATTACTACAGTACAATGGGGGTCTCAGGAAACGTCTTATTGCTGCTAGATGAACGGGGTGACCACCAGTGCCGCACTAATGCTAGAAGAGATCGGCTCCGAAAATAGTACACTCCAGCATGCCTCACGATCTCCCAATGCCGGTGGTATGAGTTCTATCTATCCGGCGTTAGAACAAACAAACCCTAAAAGGCTACAAAATACTGTATGTGACAGGCCTCAACCACAGGTCATATGAGTTCTACAGTCATAAAAGTTTTCTCCTTTTACAGGTACCTTATGAAGAAATCACCTTTCACGGTGTGGGCAGCCAAGCCTCAAAACAACAATCCACAGATGACCTTGTGTGACTGACCTCAAGCAGATGTCCAATGAGCTCTGCGGTCACACGAATCTTTATCTCTTTCGGATACCTGATGAAGAAATGACCTTTCACGGTGTGGGCAGCCAATAAGTGACCACCGCCAGCATGTTTCCAATATCATACAAGACCCAATTAAACATAACCTATCATCCTCAACTCCGTCTCCTCCTTTGCCTTCCCCACCTCATTCTAATACTAGGCCTCTTACGCCTCACCAAACCTCTCACTCTACAACCACTGTCAACGATCAAAGCCATTTAAGCCCCATTCCCACTCTCCCAAGACCCCGATTACCATCGATTTCATCTACGACCTTTCAACCTCCGAACTCTTTGCCAAATCGGACAACAAGCACCCATCACCAGAACTCTACAATCTCTAGCCATGATTATAGGCTGTCTGTGAGACACGTATACGCGACCCAAATGTGGTTACTAAGTTGACCTCACCTCGACATAATACTGAATCTTTAAAATTCACCTTCAGATTATCCAAAGACCAGATGGCTAGCTCTCGTAGACTCGCTGGTGGAGGCATGGCACTCAGCTGTAGGTCAGTAAGTGCACTTCTCATTTGGATAACAGTAAACAGCAGTCTATCTGCTGTTCGACTGAAAGGAACTGTAAGAACTAAGAGAGATCGTGAGACTAGGCGATCCCCATTACTAATCTCCGCCTACCCAACCATTGACTGTAGCTCGGATGACACAGATGGTGAATTCTATGGAAGGCTGTCAATTTTGCCACTTCAAGCAAAACGTTTTGAAGTAATCATAATGTCAGGTGACTTTAACGCTCAGGTAGGGAAGCTGAGTCAATCGGAGAGGCATCCTGGGGGTATTCACTAGGATTTCTGCTAACCAATGGACAACGATGATCGTCTGCTGCAATTTTGCTCCGACAACCACTTGTTTGTGGCCAGCACTAACTTTAGGCATAGGAAGAGACATTGTCTCACATTGCTATGAGACATCATTGGAGAGGATCGGTGAGGATTGCCACTCTTGCTTAAGCATCTGTTTGGACTCCGATCAGGTGCTAGTACGGGCTCGTGTGTATCTGCGCTATACTGGCTGCGGGTAACAGGAGTCCATCTGTGCTCCATTGGAAGATGAGGACGCCAAGTAAGCATTTATGGAGGAGTTTGGGTAAGCATCTATCGTAATATGACAGTAACGTTCATCCTGAGGGAACCAGCCGTGATATTAAGTCTGCTGTAGAAACATCGACAAAGACAGTTGGCAACCTACATTCAAAAGTATGCAAACGTGATTGGATTTCCGCAATGTCATCCAAACTGACTGACACCAGAAGACTGATTCTCACTGGCTCTGACAGCGATGAACAGTGAATACAACTCAAACGTAAGTTGACCAAGGGTCTTCGCAATGATCGCGCGAAGCAATGGGTGACAAAAGGGCGAGAGATGGAGAAGACGTCATTGGTAGGTCTATGATGGAGCTTACGTAGGGTCTTGGACGCAATATTCGTCATTTAGAAGTAGACAACTGAGTTGTTCTCGCTCTTTATAGGAGGTTGAAAGGTCGTAGATGAAATCGATGATAATCGGGGTCTTGGGAGAGTGGGAATGGGGCTTAAATGGCTTTGATCGTTGACAGTGGTTGTAGAGTGAGAGGTTTGGTGAGGCGTAAGAGGCCTAGTATTAGAATGAGGTGGGGAAGGCAAAGGAGGAGACGGAGTTGAGGATGATAGGTTATGTTTAATTGGGTCTTGTATGATATTGGAAACATGCTGGCGGTGGTCACTTATTGGCTGCCCACACCGTGAAAGGTCATTTCTTCATCAGGTATCCGAAAGAGATAAAGATTCGTGTGACCGCAGAGCTCATTGGACATCTGCTTGAGGTCAGTCACACAAGGTCATCTGTGGATTGTTGTTTTGAGGCTTGGTTGTTTTAACGCCGGATAGATAGAACTCATACCACCGGCATTGGGAGATCGTGAGGCATGCTGGAGTGTACTATTTTCGGAGCCGACCTCTTCTTGCATTAGCGCGGCACTGGTGGTCACCCCGTTCATCTAGCAGCAATAAGACGTTTCCCTGAGACCCCCATTGTACTGTAGTAATTTACATTACAACGGTAACTGCTTTTTGTCTTACCACTATCCAACAGACTATTCTGACATGGTAGGACTTTAAGGGAACAAGGGTTCCAGCCAGTGTAGCTTGTTGGATGATTGAGATATGCAAGGACGACTATGGCGCTTAGGTAGCGGTTATCGGTTGGGGCAGGGGGGTGGGGAGTGGCATCCAAGTAAATCAGAGAACGGATTTTCTTACCATACAGATATAACGTATCAGTGATCAAAAGACTACTGAGACTATTTGGAATTGATGTGGCTCATTACATTATTTATGCAAAGAAATAGGCGCAACAGCCGAAGAAAGGAAAACGAATATTATTCATGAAATCAACTGTAATAACTGCAATGAGCACTACATCGGACAATGTAGTCGCCAACTTTATTCTAGTTTACATGAACATCAGTTGGCTGTCAAACGTCACTCTATTTCGTGGTTCGTGGACAACTATGCAGAGGAATTCAGTTTGGACGATGTAGAAATGTTGTACAGACAAAACACAAAGAATATCAGAGAATTCCTAGAAGCTTAGCATGCAAGTAAACCAGTAATCAATAGGTGTGTAGACAAAGATCGATCTATCAACCAGTAAGAAAAGTGATAAACAATTACAAGGTTCAGGGTCAGGCAGAGAAACGACTAACGGGAAAATCTATGCAGTCAATGTTACATTAATCGAAGGAAATTACCGACCACAAACCACTTCATCAGGTTGAGCTACGGAATAACTGATAGTTCAGTATACATTGAAGTTAGTTCTGATGATAGTTGTCCAGAAAGATAATAAAAACTTTACGATCAAACCACCAAGCTCAGAGTACTCAGCACAACCAAGACATTCGGAAATATTTCTAAAGGGTTTGATGGAAAGAAGATGACTCGAGAAATGAGATTATCAGATTATAATGACTGGGGCTATTGAAACATGAGTTAATGTGCGTTTAGTCACAGTTTAGCTAAACATGTCATGATGTCTAGCATAAGACTAGGCTTTTTTTTTAAAGATCAGACACAATCGCACAACTCTATTCAGTTTCTATACCAACCATTTACTTTCTCACCTTTTAGGTATCTGTATGCCGTCCTCCATTATCAAGAATTTCTTTTTCTGTATTGTGAAAAATGCAGGAATCGAGTGACAATTTTGTGCAAGACTTAATGTACTTATATCTTTCCTTGATTAGAATATTCATTAGGTGGGTCAATTCAATTATCTTATATACATCAAAAATGATTACAACATCAGTTACTTACTTAAATCAGAATCAAAAATAGCTGAATGTGGATCTCGAATGAAAGTCTTCTCAAGCTTAAATCTATAAACAACAAGCAAGTTAATTATTGAAAAGATTATGTACACAAAAAATAACACAACTCACCTCCAAGCTTTTGATCTACTTACAAGTCCAGGTAAATCAACAAACGCCTAAAATAACAGAATACAAACAAGATTAATTTCTCCGGAAAATTCACAAATGTGAAAAGTTAGAATGACAATATAATTAATCCCAAGAAAATATAGTACAGTGCCCTGCAATTTCAATGTTAATTAGGATAAAAATAAACTTTTGATGAGAATATCTTAGATATTTTTGGTTTGGCAGCCTGATATTACTGATATGAAGTGGTGATTAAAGGTGAAACGAAAACCTAGGGGCATGGTAAGATTCGAACTTCTCCAGGTTACTAACCAGGTGCTTTATCAACTGAAATACAAGACCAAGTTGCGAATACGGTCCTAACTTCAATTAAAATAGTAGACATAACTAAAGTTGTGCTCATAATCAGTCACATATACATTTAAATAACCGCTAGGATACTATGCTACGTTGATTACAGTAGTTAACAGCCTAGGACTTGGATAGTGAATACAAAGTAATGCACATTGACATGAGTCATAGTAGTTGCATGAGAGCTAATGAAATAGCACCATCAGATGAACTGCGCGATGACACAATTAATTAGCTTTTATCTTCATTTCAGCTAATAACTATTGTAAGCATAAAGAAAATACATTTTTTCCATCACTACAGCAAAATATAATCAAAGTTCGATAAAAAATCAACTGCATAACCGCAGAAAGCTTACAGTTCAACCGTGGACAGTTTCTAAATACACAGAAACTCGCATAGAAGTGTATCACTTCATGTTGATACACTACACAAAAGCATGCAAAGAACACGTGGATAGAAAAAAAACTGATATCAAAGTAGACAAAGGTGCATATGAAGGATCACAACTTCATCAAATGACTTCCTCCTTCTCCCTAAAACTCCACACCTGTCTTCTGTGTTACTGACATGGTGACATCTCAACACATGACCTATGCTACGAACGAAGCAGTGGTCCAATATATGAAGCCTTCCATTGTCCTCTACCTTTAATGGCCATGTTTCATGCCCATAGATTAGAACAGAGCAAACTGCGGTGCAGTACACTCGACCATTATTCGACAACTGAATACCACCGCGAAGCCATACACACTGTATATTGGCGAAAACTAATCGAACCTTCTCTGTCCGTGCAGATTTTTTCGGCCGGAATCGATCCGAATTCCCACGTAGGTGAAATGTTCAACGCGCCCAACCATCTCACTACCAATTGTTAGACAGGGTACTAGACGAAGACCAGTCCTGAAGCAACAACTTGCATTTAGATGACGAGAAACATACGTATCCCAAACATCTCAAATTGGCACTCAAGGTCAGCGTCTTCCCCGAATAAGACTACATCATCTGCGTACTCTAGACCTGACAAGGATTCTCCGGTGATAATGTTAATCCGTATGAAGTTACATAATGAGAGAGAGAGAGAGACCTACATAAATACGTCTATGAAAATTTTCAATAAGGATCGAGAAACTGGACATCTTTGAAGGACACCAATCGAAGTACACAACTCACCATTGGCTCTAACACGTCCAGGGGCGTTCGAATAAAGAGCCTTTAACAGTGGTATACCTTCTCGGTGTCCCTTTCAGTAAGACATTGCTATAGGATCTCTCGATTGACGGAATCGAATGTCGCTCTCAGGTTGAGAAATGCAGCCAGTGCTGAGTGTCGGTAAGTGTGTCTGTGTTTCGGACTCTGTTAAAGCGTGAATATCTGATCGACACACCCGTGCCCTCCCTGGTTTTCTCGTGCCTGCTGTCCGTGAGCGCTCCTCAAATGTCTGATAGTCATGGGACTTAGGATCTTAAAAACTATGTCCGGCAGTCTGATTACCTTGTGGATATCACAAGAGGACCTCTCTCTCTTCTTGGAGGCTGGGATGATCAATGATTGACACAAGTCAAAGAGGATTATATCTGACTCCCATACACTAGTTAATAGTTCAGTTAATTTGACCGATAATTCTCTACCACCATGCCTGAATACTTGTATGACAAGTCTGTCTGGTTTTGCTGCTCTTCCTCCTTTCAAGATAAATGCAGCTTTTTCGACTTTGGCAAGTGTTGGGGTTCTACACCGATGTTCCATTCCGGATCCGATTGGATAACAGGCGGCAAAATACTGGCTCGAGGCCAGTTGAACTATTCCTCGAAGTGTTTTGCCAATCGCTCCAGTGAGTGAATAAAGGAACCATCCTTTTCCTCTTCAGCCTCAATAACCACTGACATTTTCTCTCCCGTTTTCCTTATTAATTCTTAATAAATGTCTACAGTCGTCTAACACCTCTGCCTTTTCTATCACCTTAGTCTTCGCTGCCCACCAGTGCTCGTGGTCATTGTGTAGACCCTTTACCAGTCTGAAAATGAGTTAGTCCCGCTCTTCCTCCTTGTCCTTGTAGTATGCAGAAATGCATTCACGCTTGTCCATTCATTAAAAAGAAGCTACTAAGATCTAAGCTGCCTTTTTTAACCTCTTTTTGACAGTCAGCTGCTATTCATAGTGCTGATTTTACAACACAGTGGAGATGGTACCAAACTTCTTCTAAATGCTTGGTGTTATTTGTTTCTGATAGCTGTCTTGCCAGCTATTCGCTGAAAGCAGTCTTACTATTCTCGTTGTCAAGCTGCACTGGCAATGGTCTTGTTGTAGTAGCATTTCTGCATCCATTTAAATGCAGACATACACGTGCGTGAACCAACGAGTAGTTGTTGCCCAAATACATGCTGCTGAAGCAGGGCAATCTTCCATCGACTATTCCCAGTGGTTTATCTGTGTCCACCACGCCACGTCAGAAAATATCTGTTTTTGTCAATGAATTTTGTGCTGGTCAGAATTAAATGGTTGTCTGAGCACAGTCTCAGTAGGTAATCGCCGTTATCTGTTTGTTCACCTACGATTCTGAAAGTGCCACCACCTAAGTGTCATTTTGCCTGGCCTAGTATACCCACTTAAGCATTGAAGTCACCTGCAACAACTTCCACCTATGAACGTCCGGGTTTCGGTTGGAGGCCAGACAGTTTCCGGCAGGTTTCATCCTTCCCTTTTTCAAAACTGCAGTCAACGGGTGTGTAATCACAGATTATAAAGAGGTGACTTTCACCACTCTATTTAGTCTATATTGTACCATAAGTGGAAAAGCGCATAGGCGATTACCAACTGAGTAGGGATTTTCTGAACTAACACTCAGTGCTGTACCTACACCTTTAGGAACCTGAAAGCCAGCCATCGAACCTCAAGAAATTCAAAGGATGGATTTTGTGAATTCATCAGATTGGCCGGTTAGTATCAAGCGAATAGCTGCACTTGAGTCCTGTGTGCGTGTCTCATAAACACAGCACACATCCGTGACCCGAGATGCTACAGCTTTTGGTAGCGAAGCTTATTGATAGATTTGATGGAGGGTATGGACATTGAAATCTGCAATTTGTAGTTTGGAAAGAAGCTTTACGAGACCAGTGATGGTGTTCCGTGAATTTACATCGTTGTCACAAGTTGAATAGCTGGAAGAAATTAAAGATGATGTCAGATTATTGACCGACAGACGTGAAGGAAGATTAGAAGTCGAGAATGCGGAAGCTGAACAGTGATCCGAGTAGACTTAAATGCTGACAGAGTTGTGAGGGCAATTGACACTTTCCGATCCCCCACACTCTAGACGGCTATTTCTTTTTAGAACGCCTGAAGAAGAATAGTCAGTACATGACTACAGAGCCCAAGAGATATCTGCTTAAAGTTGGTTGCAGAAGCTTTAGATTTAAGCTGGTTAGTTTCAACTCCAACTATGAACCTAGTTCGCCCGCACCAGTATTCCACGGCCAAAAGGGAGGGTGATATATTTAGGGTCGACTTTTTCTAACCCCTTTACCGTAGGGAAGTAGCATCAACGTGGCACTGCTGATCATCCAAGGGAAACACCTTACTGCTACCACAACCTCATCTAGTTAGCATTAAAGCTTCACCCTCGGAACCCCATTAGAGTGTAGTAATTTACACTATAATGGTGAATGCGTTTTGTTTAAACTACTATCCAATAGACGTTTCTGGCATGGTAAGATTTCGAGGGAATAAGCGTTTCACCAGCATAGCTTGTTGGGTCATTTTGATATGCAAGGTCTACCAACACGAGAATGAAGCACCCTGTGCCCAATGCTAATGAACTGACGCAGAGAAACACCAATCATAGTACCCTTAAACCACGCTGCTGGTTTTTTAACGTTTGAACCTATGGTAAGTAAGACAAAAGGCATTGTTAGTGAGAACTCCGCAATCTCGTTGGAAAGAAATCTGAGTGTTTGGTATGCCTTTGGCACCAGTCAAATGTAATATGATGATTCAAGATTGATTTGCAGCTACTTTCAGTTGAATGATAGGGAGTGAAGCAGTTGAATGCACCGACCACTTCACTTACCCGGGAAGTCAGATAAGCTCTGGTGAATTAGTGACCGACAGAATTTCGGCACGGATGGAAAGGAACCCTATCGGTCTTATTCAGTCTGTACCGATGTGATATAGGATTGCTTATTAAATCAAGTGCACCTATCTGCAGTTCGCTTCCTTCTACTACCTGGGTGTGAAACGCCCACTAAATGCGAGTGACATTCGTGTAGCGTAGGCCGTTTGTAGTGGTGTTATCAAGTCAGTAGTGCAGAAGCCAGAGGCAATTCAGTTGATGAGATAGTAAACCTTCATAGAATCAGGCGGCTAGAAAGCGCTTACCCGGGGATTTTTGTAACAACTGGTCTTGATGTTGTTGTGTCGCAGTAAGTGTTACAGACGAAGCTGTGCCAGTCAGCTGGATCTCCGATAATATCCATTTCTTTGCTTCTAGGTTGGAAGGGTGACTGGAGTGAGAAGTAACTGGTAAGGGAGAAGATGTCACTTCATTATCTCTGTCTGTGCCATTAGTGGCTGACTGCAGCTTGGATGAGTTCTACCATCAAACAGCTACCTTTTCTATAAGGTGAGCCTAGTAAATATCATAGTGCTAGCTGGTGACTTGAATGCACAGGTCTGGCGTCTAGACTCAAAAGAGAGTTGAATAGGTGACCAGTGGGGACTAGTCGGCTGGGGGTGAGATATTGGGGAACGTCTTCTGCAGCTTTGTTCAGATCACAACCTGTCTCTGACCAACGCTGAATTCCCGTACAGTCATCACTGTTGTGCTACCTAGCGTCCTATCTCTGCCACTTAAGCCTGGAGTCACACAGACAATATTGCAATCAGCTACCAATGGTGTAAATGTATTCAGGACTGTTGTTTTTTTTGAGTATCCGTCTTGACTGCGATTAAGACTTAGTGAGTACTAAGTTCATCCCCGTTTTGGTGGTCATTAAAACCATTGTCCTAAACAGGTTAATGTAAGCGAACTGATAGCATTTGGTGTTGCAAATA